TTAGCGCCGCGCAAATTCGTTTTGAAAGTTTTCAGCAGCTTCACAGATGGAGGGCGTTTTTTTTTCAGCCTCAGCGCTGCGCGCAGTCGTTTCCAACGTTTACAACGGTTTCAATCATTCGCACTGTCGAAATCAGAGGAATGGTGTTCTGGCACATGTTTGGATTGTCTGGGCGCAACAGTGACACTAACTCGCAGCGTTGGGGTCCCAGGGATGGCGTTCTGGCACAATCTAGATCTGTTCTTGTGGAAGGATTGACGGTTTTCGGATGATTGTCTTCTAATGGGCCACGTCCCACCGTGGAAACCAGTTCCCCAAACAGTGCTTGCCCTTAGGGTGTCTTCGTTCTTCTTAACGGAACTGGGCCTGATTGTCGGTCTGGCGGCGATGTTGTCGTCGACGCCGCCCCGTTGCCGCTTCGATGCCGCCCGTCATCTGGGCCTGCTTGTCGGTCTGGCGGCTATGTTGTCGCCGTCGACGCCTCGTCGCCGCCCGTGATCTGGGCCTGACTGTCGGCCTGGCGGCTATGCTGTCGCCGTCGCAGCCCTATCGCCGCCACGTCGCCGCCCGTGACCGGCGCCCGTGGCGCTCAAGTCCGCCTAATCTTTGTTGTTGTCGTCGCCTTCGTCCGCGACCCACCCCGCGACCCATCTCGGACCTGCCCCACGACCCACCCGCGACCCACCCACGTTGCTTGGACGAAGGCTTGGCGCCTGCGGCCAGCGGGCTTCTTTCGAATCTCGCCGGCCTGCCGGCGACCCCGGGGACCACTCGCTAGTGGACGCAGCTGCGGGGTGCCACGCACACCTACGGGCATATGTCGGCGTCCTGAATTTGCGAGGAGGAGGAGGGGAACCAGTACGTACACATGCGTGTCATTTTCGATATCCAGAATGTGCGGGGGAGAGGAGGAGAACCAGGAGGAGGAGGAGGAGGAGGAGGAGGAGGAGCAGATCCGTGCGTAGTAGCTCGTTGTCGCCCGAGCTCAGAGTGGGTAACCCGCAGGTGGTCCACTGTGTGTTCGTTTGTGAGCGGAATTGCGCGTCCAATGCACATAAAGTAGGATGTGAGTACCCCCCAAGCCTCCTGATCACCCGACGGGTGGTCTTATCGGCATAACGTCCAGCATATCTCCAAGAGGGCCCAAGACTTCTCCAAGACAGTCCCAAGCGGCCACAGACCCTCCAAGGATCCCCTCGAGAGGCCCAAATCCAACCACAACTTATGGCAAGTCAATGAGTTGTGCCTTCTCAGCTGTTCTGCACCGATCCACTTTGGAAGCCTCATGATAGCCCCAAGAGGACCGTAAAAGAACCCCAAGAGGGGCCCAAGTGGGCCCCAAGACGGCCGCAAGAGCGTCCATGAGCGCACCACGAACGCCCGAAGATGGCCCCAAGAGGCGACATTGCAGAATGCAGGTGGGGGCGTCATTCGTTAACCCCCCCTTTTCGATCGATGACATCCAAGATGGCCCCAACAGGGCCCCGATGGCCTCCTTGAGGGCGCCAGGATGGTCTCAGTGGCCATCAAAAATGCCCCAGGAGGGCATCAAATGCTTTCATAATGGCCCCCACGAGGGCCCCAGAGTGATCCCAAGAGGTTTTTCATAGGCTCCCAAAGCGAAAGACGTCGTCGCCGTCGTCGTCGTCGTCTTCGTCGTCGTCGTCTTCAACTTCAAATTCATCGTCGTCTTCGTCTTCGTCGTCGTCGCCTCATCCTTCTTCTTTCTCCACCCTCTTGTTCCTCCCTGTCCTCCGTGTACTCTCTTCCTCCCATTTTCCGTCTCTCCCTCCCCCGTTTGATCCGCCATTCTCTTTCTCTTTCCGAGAGTAATGGCGGTCCTTCGGTTGCCCCGATGCATGCTGCCAGACTTCCCGGATCATGAGATCTTGGCTCGTGGGTGCGGTTTGTATGGGCTGGGCTGGTGGGGATGTGCAACGCCAGGACAGATCAGTTTTGTAGGAGCTCCCGCTGCTCTTCCCCTCGGATCTTGGGCGGGGCAGCCACTTGATGAACCTGGGCGGCCCTTCGGGCGGTCCATTCAGCTCTGCCCCATGCTTCCCCCCTACTCCTCCTCCTCCCCCTCATCCCCCTCATCCCCCTCATCCCCATCCTCCTCCTCCTCCTCCTGCCTCCCCCTCCTTCGCCTCCTCCTCCTCCTCCTCCTCCTCCTCCTCCTCCTCCTCCTCCTCCCTCCCCCCTCCTCCTTCCTCCCCTCCTCCCGTCAAGTGGAACCTTCGAGCTGCCTTCTGCCTGCCAGGAACTCTGCCGGCCGGAGCCCTGCGGAGGTGGCCCTGCAGAAGAACAGGCTTCGGGGGGCGCAAGCGGCATGCCTTCGTGCTTCGACCCCGGCCAGGCGTAAGTCGGGCATATCCCTTTACAGGAGGAATACAGTCGGGGCCCTGAAGAAGGAACCCTTTTCGTTGGGGAGGGGCTGGGTGTTCCTTGAGTGTTTCACAGCTTGCCCAAGGTTTTCCTTCGGCTTTCGATGGGAAGTCGAAGTTTAATTTATGGAAAAGGGGCCTCGTTCCTTATTTAGGGTTCCTTAGGTCAACGCCCTGACTGTAGTCAAGAATGGTTTAAGAAATGGTCTGGGGACGATCTTCCTACCATTTTGGCTATTTTCTATGTTTGGTTTGACGATTGTTGCTTTCTCACACACTCCGCCCGTAGCATGACATGCCCGACCTAAGGCCAGGCCAATCGGGCCGGACGAAAGGGGGGGATTAGGAAAGGGGGGGTTACGAAATTTGCTGCATGCAGCTGGTTTCGGCCCCACCGAGGGGCCCGTTCCTCGATGCATGTGCGCCTCCGGCGCCGGGAGGCGCCGGGAAGATCAGCTACGTGAGCTGATTCTCAAGCCCCCCCTTTGCTATCCCCCCCTTTCGCCCGACCCGAGCCAATCCTGGGCCCAGGCTGTCGCCTCAGTTGGGGATGGGCGGCGGGGCGCCCTGGGGAAGTGTGTCGAGGCGCGCTGGTTTGACGATTGTTGCTTTCTCCCACAATCCGCCCGTAGCAGGACATGCCCGACCTTAGGCCAGGCCAATCCTGGGCCCGGGATGTCGACTCAGTTGGGGGATGGGCGGGGCGCGCTGGGGAAAATGTGTCGAAGCCGGGTCGGCCCCGACGCTGGGCGGCACACCCCCGAAGCACACTACAGTCGAGGCGCTGAAGAAGGAACCCTTTTCGTTGGGGAGGGGCTCGGCGTTCCTTGATTGTTTCACAGCTTGCCTCAGGTTGTCCTTATGTTTCGATGGGAAATCGAAGTTTAACTTATGGAAAAAGGGGCCTCGTTCCTTATTTAGGGTTCCTTAGGTCAACGCCCCGACTGTATGGCCTCCCCGTCGCCGGCAGGCACTGAAAGTAACAGCATCGGGCGTTGCGTAATGGGGACCGTCGAATCCTCAGATCTGTAGCTGTACTACTACTATCAAAACACGTGGCGGGACCAACTTCGCACAATATTTTTTAAAATACATGTTTACAGTTTTGAACGGATATTCAAGTAAGATTTATCGTTGCATTCTGAGCATTACTTCGCGCGTCAAGAGCTCCACGAGGGTTCCAGCGGTAACCTGGTTGACGGTTTACCGCCTGCGCCCAGTTGGCCCGGGGCGATCGTTGGGGTGGGTGGAGAGAGGTGCACCTGTTGTGCCCCAAAACGGCTCCCTGGGGCTCAAAAGGGGCACGAAAGGTGCACGTTTTCCCGCCCCCCCACTTGTCGCCCCCCTCCCCCCCCTGAGGCAATTCCCGAAACTGATTCCCTGCCCCCCTCGGTTGCTCTCCTCCGTCCGTTTTTGTCCACCCCGGGATGGGTTTGCTATCCTCTGGCGCGTAACGGTCGCTACCTGGGCCAAGCCCCTCCCCCCCTTCCCCCGGGCAACCGCAACGATAGCACGGCAGAGGAAAACACTGAGTGGACACCCCCGCCCATCTCCCCAAAATTCCACGTTGGCACGCGTGGGGGAAACTGCGGTTGAAATGCGCGTCATTGCACCAGCCGCCCTTTTTCATCACTGGGGGGCGGCAGTTGACAGATGCGTGTGGCATGAGTGTTCGCTACTTTCTTCCGAGGCATGTACGTCGGGGGAGGGGCCTTTGTGGGCCCCGGAAACGGCAGGGCCGTTTTTTCACCGTTTCCAAAAAAGTGTCCCTTGAAAATGGAAACGGCAAAAAGTCGGCGACCGGAAACGGCAAGAAAACGGCTCCAGGATTGGAACCGGAGCCGGAACCGGGAAAAAAACGTCGTCGGAACCGGCAACAAAAACGGCAAGACGGAACCGGTAAAAAAACGGCCCTGTCGTTTCCAGGGCCCACTAAGGGAGGGGCCTCCCCCCCCCCGCCCCATGTGCTCTTGCTCGCGCGCATGCTGTGGCTCATCGCAGCGCACCCCCGCCACGACCCGTAGACGGGCGAACGGCGATGCAGGCAACGGCGATGTAGCCTTCGGCAGAGTGGGAACGCGTGGCCGCCGTGGCTCGCGCTACAGTCGGGGCGTTGCCCTAAGGAACCCTAAATAAGGAACGAGGCCCTTTTTTTCCATAAGTACAACTTCGATTTCCGATCGAAGACATAAGGAAAGCCTCAGGCAAGCTGCGAAACACTTAGCGAACGCAGAGCCCCTCCCCAACGAAAAGGGTTCCTTCTTCAGGGCCCCGACTGTAGCCTACAACTCGCCGTGTCGTGCTCGCTCGATGCATCCGCAGATGGGAAATGCAGGAACGCGTGCGTAGCGATCTCCTCTGCAGACTGCTTCCCGACTTCACCGCTCAGCAACATCGCCGTTCGCTCCGCCTGGGACGACGCGCGCCGCCCCGCCCGAGCGTCCCCTTGCCCAGGGCTGGGGCCCCACCCCATCCCTGCCCGCACGCCACACCCCCTGGGGTAACGCCCGTCGCCGGACATGTGAAGAGGCCAAGCTCTATGCTTGAGACGGGCATGCCCCTCTACAGGAAAGCATGCAAAGATGGTGCAAACTTAGTCTGGGGACGATGTGTCTTCTTATTGTTTGGCAGTTTTTTCATGGTTGATTTGATGTGGTCGACTGCTTGAATGTTTGCCAACTTGGATCCGTTCGGATTGGTTTGACCATGTTTATCTTTTCGTCCAGAATGCGCCCTGTAGGAGGACACGCCCGACCTGACTCTGTATGCACCGATCGCGGGCCCAGGACGGGCCCCGGCGCCGGCACCAGCGCAGAGGTGCGCCAGTTTGCGCCGGCCTCCCCCCACAGGGGCGGCTCCCACGCGGGGGTCCTGAGGGTCCTCGCGGAGCCGCCGCCCTCGGACAAGGCGCGAAGGAGGCCGGAGGGGTTCAACACATCCCGAAGAAGAAAACGCGGAGGAGGAGGAGGAGGAGGAGGAGGAGGAGGAGGAGGAGGAGGAGGGGGAGGAGGGGGGGGAGTAGGAGGAGGAGGAGGAGGAGGAGGAGGAGGAGGAGGAGGAGGAGGAGGAGGAGGAGGAGGACGAGGACGAGGCCGCGCGGATTTCTTGGATACGAGCTGGGGCCCCCTGGCGCCGCCTGCCGCGAGGCCCTGGCGCGCTCCGCGCGCCAGGGAGGGGGGGTTCAGCGCAGATGTAAGAGATCCGGGCGGAGTTCCAACAGTTTATGGCTATGCCGTTTTCTCTTCTTCTAGTTCTTGACGCTTTGCGTATCTCCACCAGCGGCAGTTTCGACGGCCGTTAGTTCGCGCGCTTAGGCAATTAGGTTTGACTCATAGCCCGGGCTGACTTCGGACGCCCCCTGCGCCTTCGCTTGCGGCCGCGACGAAAAAAGTATCCCCACCAGCCCATCCAGAAACGATGCCCATGAGAGTTGACTTGGGGAGAGAGGAAGAGACACGCATTGTCAAACAGCGAGGGAGGCTTGGGAGGCTCCGTGGCCATCTCGAGCCGTCTTGGAGCGGTCTTGGGGCCGCTTGGAGCATCTTGGGAGCCAGATGGCTTCCGATTCCGATTCGGCTCGACTTCGGATTCCGATGTGGGCTCCGCTTCTAGCCTGCCCATTGCCGCCGCTTCGACTTCTCCCCACTGGGCCGTCGACTTCCGCCGATTCGACCGCTTCCGATTGCAGATCTGGCTCACAGTCGGCCCGGATTAGTAGGTCGACCCTGCCAAATCAAGGGCACCCTTGTGCCCTGTGTCTCGCGACCCGTGCGACCCAGGCAGTGTGGCCCTCGGAAGGGTCTTGATCAGGAGTTTAAAAAACACGCAGACACAATTAATCGTCGATTACCCCAGAAAATATGGGAACATATGGGAAGTGGGGGGGATTGGGGAATTGGTTTATTTGTGTGTGTATTTCCTTGTGTGTCTTGGGGCCCTTTTACTTGTGCCCTCTCGCGTGTCCTGCCCCATCGAGTCCGACTGCAGATCTCGATTCCATCTTTGCCCCCCCTGGCTGAGGAAGCGGAGGCTCTTCGGGAGCTTCGGCCGCTCCCGGGGCTCGCGCGAGCCGCCGCCGGGGGCGTGCTGAGGAGGGCCCGCTCGGGCGCGGGACCTCGCGCGGTCGCCCGCCCTGCTCGGGGGGCGCCTGGCCGCTCCCGGGGGTCGCGGAGGGGAGGAGGCTCGAGGAGGCTCAACGAGGAGGAGGAGGAGGCTCAATGAGGAGGAGGAGGAGGAGGAGGAGGAGGAGGAGGAGGAGCTATGGAGCTATGGAGCTGTGGGTATGGCGACAGCGTCGGGAACTATGGAAGCAGCCATTCCCCCGCTGCTTTGTGCCTCGACCTCTTGGCTCGTTCTGCTCTGCTGAGAGCCTTTGGCTAAATGTCGCGGCTGATATTATTGAGGTAATCGGTACGAGTAGTACTTGACACAACATTGGCACATTCACTTCCAAGCTTACACGACTGCTGAGATGCGTGGCAGCCGCATGAAGCACAAGTCCGACCGACCGCCCCGGCGCCAGGCTGCTGAAGACCCGTGTGAAAGAATGCTTTGTGTGAGAAATGCACATGCCCCCCGAGATGTGCACGCTACGCCCTGAGGCAGGCCTCAATAGGATGCCATCAACATTCACCAAATTATAGTAGGGGATCTGGAGCCAAGCGGCCCTGGTGGCAGCGGACGTGGACCCCCGACACCTGATGCAGCGCTTGGAGTTGTCTAGACAGTGCTGGCTGGAGAAAGTGGCACAGACGCTGGCCGCTGGGGGCCTCACCACAACAGCAGGCTGCCTACGCTCAAGACCCAGCCGCAGGCACTCCGATTCTTCGGCCCTGAGGACCTCAGGGGTGCTCTGGAGTATGCGCATGCGGACTGCGAAAGCTGTGTGATCATTCTGCTATATGCTGTGCCGTTTTTAATACATGCTCCGCGTGCGGATCAGGTTCAAAAACATGCAGGGCTTTGCAATAAAAACAACGATGAGCTCATGCATACATTTATTCATAAATTAACCATGTCTTAAACATCTTATATGTTTGAAAATCCCATGTATTACAAACTGCCCTGTACGTGCGCGCACGTTCTCGGGGAGGCGAGCCAGTGCGGCACCCTCCGCGGCGAGTTCATCTGCTATGGTGTTGCCGTGGACTGGGAGCCCTGGGGCGCGGCCCTGTACGATGAGGTGAGGGTGGGTGAAAAGGGCGGGGCAGGCAGGGAGACCACGCCTCTCAACCTCGAGGCCAACCTGCCACCGGAAGTCGGCGTCTGGGCCAGCAGGTCTAGTCCACCTGCACCATCCATCGCATTCACTAGAAGTATCTGTGATATAACATACTCGGCCACTTGACCGCCGAAGGCACGTGAGCAGACAAAACAGCTCCCCTCGAGCAACTGTTTGTCTGCGCCCTGGGAGAGGTCCCCATAAACCTACAGAAATCTTCATGGGTTCTTGCAAGGCAGAAAAAGACGCGAGCCCGAGACCGATCCTACGGAGCTTGGGGTGGTGGGTGTCCTTACCCCCACTGGCATCCCCGAAGACGTATAGAGGTTCACTGGGGGTCCCGTGACTTAGGTGAGGAGGCTCGCCTTGGGAAGTGCTTACCCAAGACTCATCAAAAGGGGGCTCTGGAGCTTCAACCCAGCTGCTTGGTAGGAGGCCCGAAGCCAAACACATGATTCGCTCTCGTGCTGCGCAAACGCTTTGCTGACGAGGTGCTCGCTCAATTTGTAAATGGGATGTTGCAGGTCCGGGCCCTCGCACTCCCATATCCGATGACAACTCGTCTCTGGCTGACCTCGACCCTCGGGACAACGTTGGCACATGACGCTCATGACCTGCTTGCGCCTTGTCTGCCGTGGGGTCCTAGGCCACGCGGTGCCCGCCGCTGTAGCCAATAGAAGTCTAGACAGTCGTTGTCCTCCTGGGGCGTCGTTCAGCTCCTTGAGAAGTTGACGAAATTTATTGATTGCAGACACCTCCATGCCGCCGCCCTCGAAGTGTTCGGCCGCAGCTCGCCAGGCCTTGGCTTGGATAGTGTCTCGAAATTCGTTCATGAAACTCATGTGCCCAGTAACCGTGTGAGATTGAAACTGCCATTCGCCCTCGCCATCTGGGGTGGTCCATACCGCAGGACCCTGTGGCGACCAGCCTGCCTGAATCTAGAAGGTAACATACGACAGCCGCCTGAGGTCCACGAACTCGCCGAGTACGCTGCGCCACTGTTAGACTCGCCAGCTCGTCAACCATTGCCTTCCACGTAGCCGTTATAGGAGGAGGAGGAGGAGGAGGAGGAGGAGGAGGAGGAGGAGGAGGAGGAGGGGAGGAGGAGGAGAGGAGGAGGAGGAGAAGGAGGAGGAGGAGGAGGAGAGGAGGAGGAGGAAGAGGAAGAGGAGGTGGAGGAGATAGGGGAGAAAGAGGAGGAGAAAGAGGAGGAGGAGGAGGAGGAGGAGGAGGGGAGAAAGGGGGAGGGGAGGAGGAGGAGGAGGAGGAGGAGGAGGAGGAGGAGGAGGAGAGGAGGAGGAGGAGGGGGGAGGAGGGGGAGGAGGAGGAGGGGAGGAGGAGGAGGAGGAGGAGGAGGAGAGGAGGAGGAGGAGGAGGAGGAGGAGGAGGAGGAGGAGGAGGAGGAGGAGGAGGAGGAGGAGGAGGAGAGGGAGGAGAAGGAGATGGAAGTGCGGAAGAGGTGGAGGAGGAGGAGTAGGAGGAGGAGGAGGAGGAGGCGGACTTCAACCTCTTCGCGTCTGGAAAAAGGCACGAAGGGCTCCCGTTTCACGTTCAGCATCTCTTCGCCCCCCCCCAGGGGCCTTCCAGGAGTCGGCTGGGGCTCCCGGAGCTCCCGCATAGGGGAAAAGGGCCGGGGCTCCCGGGGAGCCCGTGCGCAGGGTCGGACCGGGGGATCAGATCGAGGTCGGCTCGGGGAGGGTGCCCTTCCGTGCTTCGTGCTCGCTGGATGCTGTCGTGCGTCCTGGGGAGGGTGCCCTCGGATGTTCAGTGTCCTTTGGCCGACGGAGGGCCTCATGCTCTTGAGGGAGCCGGGCCTCCTCATTGTCCAGGGCATCAGAGCTCCGGGGATGGAGGATCCACGCTTTGGGGCGTCTCTGGCTCTTCCCGCGGGCCGTGTTTTCGGGGGCCCCTGGAGGAGGGGCGCTCGGCGGGCCTGCGGTTCGGCCGGTTCGGCCGCGTCGCGGACGCTTGCATTGGGCTTGTTTCGGTTCGTCTCGGCTGCTGCGCCGCTGCATCCTTCTGAGCTGCGCTGGTCCCGTTTGTTTCGCTCGGTGTTGGTTTTGCTGTCGGTTCGGCGGGTGCTCGGCTCTGTTGTCGCCGTGGGCGCCTATATGGGGACAGGCTGAGGGGATGAAAGGAGAAGGAAGAGGAGGAGGAGGAGGAGGAGGAGGAGGGCGAGGGGAGGCTGGATGGGAGAAGGGGGAGGGCAGGAGGGAAGAAGAGCGAGGAGGGAAGGAAGAGGAGGAGGAGGAGGAGGAGGAGGAGGAGGAGGAGGAGGAGGAGGAGGAGGAGGAGGAGGAGGAGGAGGAGGAGGAGGAGGAGGAGGGGGAGGAGGCGGAGGAGGAGGAGGAGGGGGAGGAGGAGGAGGAGGAGGAGGAGGAGTAGGAGGAGTAGACTCGATGTTGGACTCAGTGTTCTGCTGGCGCCCTGGGCCGTGGGATCCGTGCCCTGGCGGCTCGTCGCGCAGGCGCCCGTGCCGCCCCCGCTCAGTCCTGAATGGACGGCTGCTGCTGTAGGCGGCAGGAGCGGGCATTGGGGAGGAGGAGGCGGATTAGAGGAGGAAAAGGTACCCATAATGGAGGATGACGATTAATGAATGACCGGGGGTCGTGTCCACGCGGCGGCGCCTGGGATGACGATTAGAGAAAACCGGCCGCGGGCTGGAAAACTATTTTTCATCGTTCTCTTCCAGTCAGAAATTATGCAGAAATAGCAGAAAACTATGCTTTTAATCGTTCTCTTCAGCTTTTAATTAATCGTCATCCCGCATTACCTCTACCCTCCCTCGTTTTTCCCCTTTTTGGGCCTCCTGGGTAGCCCTCGTCGCCACCGCTGGATTCACCCCGAGATGCTGGTCAGAACGCGCACCGGGAGAGGTACCTTTTGGTTTCCCCAGCGGGGGCAGGGTGAGGAGGAGGACGCTCGGGGGGATCGGTCGAAGAAGAAAAACACGCCATAAACATGAACTGTTGGCGCTCCGCGCGGATTTCTCGGATTCGCGCTGGCCCCCCCTGGCGGCGCCTGCGGCGCCGCCCCTGGCGCGTGGGGTGAGCTCAAGACGATACTCCCGTGGGTGTGCAGTGGTGTCGGCGTCGTCCATTTGGGCGCGTCGAGAACAAGCAGTGCTGCGAGATGTGTTCCCTTTCCCTACCCGACAGGTTCGGGTCGTTAGACTTGAAGTACAGGCCTCCCGACCCGTCCACCCTGCATACCACGGCCGCCAGATCCCCAGGTCCCCCAAAGGTCCCCGAGAATCCCGCCTCGCGCCACCCTGCCTACCACGGCCGCCAGATCCCCAGGTCCCCCGAGGGCCCCCGAGAGCCCCGCCTCGCGCCACCCTGCCTGCCACGGCCGCCAGATCCCCAGGTCCCCCGAGGATCTCCGAGGATTCCGCCTCGCGCCACTCTGCATACCGCGGCAGCCAGATCCCCGGGTCCCCCGAGGGTCCCCGAGAATCCCGCCTCGCGCCACCCTGCCTACCGCGGCCGCGAGATCCCCAGGTCCTCCCAAGTGTCTCCGAGAATCCCGCCTCGCGCCACTCTGCATACCGCGGCCGCCAGATCCCCAGGTCCCCCGAGTGTCGCCGAGAGTCCCGCCTCGCGCCGACAAATCATTACATGACAGAGACGATACTATACAATAGCAGGACTGAATATAGCACATTACGATCAGTTTCGACATAACAAAGCATAACTCCAGACCGCTTAATGTATCATATCCGAGCATAACATATCATAGCATGACAGAACGTATCGCATCATAAGACACAATCGCCGAGCATTGAATGCCATGGCACAGCGTCACAGCACAACTTATTCCATACGATGACAAAGCAAGCATACCATAATATAGCATCGCAGAACTGCGCATGTCAAATCAGACCATGACACAGCCTCATATAACATGGCATATCATGTCACAATACAACCCAGCAGAACAACGCATGATATGATATATTGGAGCCCCAGTATCATAGCTAAACAACATGCCATGATATAACATCGCATGTCATGGCTTATCATAAACACATCACCATGGCAGAATACACCACAACTCGCCAGAACCTCTCATCATATACACCATGCCAGATATCGCCGCAGCACACAGAACACATCATACCATGACAGAGCGCGGCATCATATGTTACAGCGGAGCAGAGCATTAAATGTTATACTACCACAAGCTATGCCATACTGGACCATACAGGACAGAACAGAGCATACCAGCACACCTCATAACAACACAGCAGAGCGTAACATGCCATATCATGGCATAACAACACATACGAACAGTTAGTAAAGCATCTTCCCAGTGCGACCCAGCCTAGGAGTTAGAGCCCCTAGGAAAGCAGCATTCGTAGTAACAGTATAGCTAAGCTAGAGCTAAGCTGAAGCTAAGCTGAAGCTAAGCTGAAGCTAAGCTGAAGCTAAGCTAAAGCTAAGCTAAAGCTAAGCTAACGCTAAGCTGAAGCTACGCTAAAGCTAAGCTGAAGTTAAGCTAAAGCTAAGCTACAGCTCAGCTAGAGCTCAGCCAAAGCTACGCTAAAGCTAAGCTGAAACTAAGCTAAAGCTAAAGCTCCCAGGGGCCTGGGGGAACCGCGGGGCGGATCCTGGGGGAACCGCCCGGGGCGTAGTCCATTGCCCGGGCTTTTAAGCACACCGAGTAAGAACCTTTCTAGGCAGAGCCTAGGTAGGGAATACCAAAACACAGCATAGCACAGCATCAACGCACATGTTATTCCATTGTACGTCAAACGCGACGTGCGCAGCGTTGGGAACAAACGCCGAAGGTTTTGGTGGGGATGGCCCGAAACAACAGAATTTCAGGATCCCCATGTCCAGCTCGCTGGGTCACAGAATCGCGCAAATTCCTCGGCGATGCGGCGCTATGTGGAGCTCGCTTTGCTCCACCCTGCCGTCGCCGGCGTTTCTCGGCGCTGCATGGGCGACGCGGGAGGTCCTTCGACCCCAGCTGCCTACATGCTCCTCCCCCTCCAGCAGTCGAAGTTTGAGGGTCGACATTGCAGTGGGGACGCGCACCAAGAAACCAGCTGCGCTTCGTGAGGGTACCCTGGGTTTCTTCGCTCCGCCCGCAGCGCGCTGACTCCCCACGGCCGTCAGAGAAGCTGCTGCTTTCGGGGTGCTCCGGCTTCCCCCCCGAGATCGTGCCTCGTGCGCGGGTGTTCAGGGCTGGGTTTTTGTGCGCGGGCTTCTTGCGGCCGCGTCCGCACGGTGCTCTGCATTCTCCACCGATGTGCGGCCCGGAAGGGGGCCTCGTCGCCACGGCTGCATCCGCTTCGAAGTGCGCATCCGAAAGGACCCCTAGGCGGGTCCACGGGGCTTATGCCTTGAGAGCCGAGACCCCGTCGTCGGGAACCCAGTCGCGACGGGCGCTTGTGGGCACAGTTTGGCCTCGAGGGGCCCTCCCAGGCCCCATGGCCGTCAGAAAACGTCCGCATGAAGCGCCGGTCCTGGGAACGGGGTCGAGACTTCTGGGGTCCCCCAGCCAGCCTTACGTTGGGCGTGTCCCTCCACAAGGGGAACATTAGAAAATAGTCAAAAAATAGTCAGGGGACGATTTTTTGATTATTTTTGATTATTAGGGGGGTCTTTTTGGAGTATCTGGGGACACGCCCGACTTAAACCCAGCCTCGGGATGCTTTCCCACAATCGTTCCTCGCCGAAAGCATTCCGGAGAGCCCCGGCTTGCCTCGAACGGCCGTTGCCGGACCGAGTTCCACTTCGAAAGCCCCTGCCGCCCAGACTGTTCCGGAGGGCGGCGTTGCCACCGGCTCGCACGTCTCTGTGCTCCTCCCCCCTTTCGAAGATCGGGGGAGCGTAAGACCCGGGTTTGCCAGGACTCGGGTTCGCCATCGTTTTTTGACGACCGCGCCTCGGATTTTGACGAGGAGGAGTTTCGTGGGATGTCTGCAGCGGGAGGCCTCGTCAAAATGCAGGCTCGGCCTCGTCATTTTTTCGACGACCTCGTCGGGGATTTCCGAGTCCCCTGTACCCAAGTCTTACGTCCCCCTTTCGAGGAGCAGTCACACATTGCGCAGCATGTCCCGTGGCCGCACCGATTCCTCTCGGCTCGGCGCTGGGCCCCCCCTCCCCACAGCCGGCGCGCTCCGCGCGCCACGGGTGGCGGGCTCGGCGACGGCCCGAGAAGTCGACCCCGTCCTCCAACGGGTCATGTCTGCGCAGTTGGTCTGCCACTGGGCTACGATTCTCACCCCGCTGCCGTCGTGCGGCGTTGGCGCGCCGGCGACGCCGGCGAGGGCGTTTGAGGTTGAATTCTGCGACGCGGGAGCAGCGATGAAGACGGCAATGCCACTGGACACGATTGAATGGAACCTTGAACGATCGAGGCCGTGACCAATTCAAGGTTGAACGATCAACGCGGTGTCAAAAACCTCGACGCGCGCCGACGCCGCACGAACCTGCCGTATTATGACTCTGGCCCCGCCCCTTCCTCCTCTGTCGGGAGGGCCGCCGCCGCCTGGGTTGGCCCTCGTCGATCTACTGCGCCGTGCTCGCGCTCTCCGCTTTTTGTCGGCTGTCTCTGACTCGAACAGATGATGTTTGAAGTGCGCGGCGCTCATGCGGTCGCGGAGCACCGCTAGCCGCTCGACCGCGAGCTTTCCGGCGGCTGCGGGAAGAGATTTTTCAGCGTAGGGTGGCAGACACGCCGTGCCAAAGACAAGCCAACGCTCAGATGTGCCCGTCCCGAGCTCGGGCTCGCCCTGCGTATGCGGCTGGCGTTCTTGAGCGTCTATTTGGACTCAGCGGGGAGAAGGAGAAAGATGTGGATGAACAGAAGCAGGATACTGATTAGTTGCAGGAGGGGGACGAGCAGGAGGAGCAGTGGGAGAAGGGCAGGATTCTGACCGAGAAGAGGAGACTCGGCAGCAGACGTGGGACGAGCGGGACGATGAGGACGATAGGGGGCTGAAAGGCAGCGACGGGGGGGAGAAGGTGGAACGGAACACAAGGAGCATGCGAGGATGAATGTTAGGGCTTAGGAGGACAAGGAGGAGGAGGAAGAAGAGGTGGAGGGGGAGGAGGAGGAGGAGGAAGAGGAGGAGGAGGAGGGGGAGGTAATAATAACAATACGACTCACAAGAGCGACAGTTCGAAGGGCAGTGGATTAGCCAGCGACGAGTTCGAGTACACAGAGGCTCAAACGCTCAGAGAAGCGACACTGAACGGGCGGCGACACGGGCAAGGCCCACCGACGACAGTGTACGCAAGCCCTCAACGATACGAATTCGAAGGGCCGCGAACGTCGTGCACTCATACCTGTAGCACGAGTGCACACAAGACTTACTGCTGTGCATTCTGAAATCCACTTCCAGAGTTCGATCGCTCTAGGAATCGCTGACGGGCAAGCTGAAACCGTAAAGAAGGGCGAAGACCTTCGGTCACACTAAGAGTAGGAGGAGGAGGAGGAGGAGGAGGAGGAGGAGGAGGAGGAGGAGGAGACGAAGGGAGGATCGTCGAAGAGCGGGGACGAGTTGGGGGGGGGGGGGCCTGTCTCTCGGCGGCGAGCGGTGGCGGGTGCCTGGAGGATCAGCTGCAGGGCTCACGCCTCCATCTCGTCGATTGCGTTCTGGATCCTGCGCTCGAGGTCGCCTGGCGGTGCAATTCCCTCGAGCTTGGTGGCCTTCTCGCGGATGAGAATGGGAACGATGATGCTTTCGTAGATCGTAGCGCTCGGGCTGCCCGCAACCGTGTTCGCCTCGAGGCGCTTCACTTTGCTGTCGTACGTCTTGCAGCAGCGGGCGTAGCGAACTTCTTTCATCGAAGCGTGAAGGTAATCCTTGGTCTCGTTGCCCGTGCTCTTCATTTTCTGCACGTACGTGTCCAGGTTGGCCAGCTGAGGCGGGTCGAGCTCCTTCTCCTGCAGCTTCTGCTTGGCGACCATGATCCATGCGTTCCAGACGTGCACGTGTGGATGGGCCAGGGTGGCGATCTTCAACTGCTTCTGATCCTTGCTGTACTGCTTCGCCGCCTCCGAATAGTTCTCTGTAGAAGTCTTCCCCTGGATGAAGAACTCGGAGCTCTCGTTCACTTGATAGTTTTCCAGCACGATTGCCCTCATAATCCATGACGACATAGCAGTACTGAGGGTCAGCTTGGCGATGAGAATCACGAGAGCGGTGAGGTCGTTCGAGTTGGCGCCCTTGCGGCGCTCCTTCGCGGCGCGATGGGCTGTACTGGTGGCGAGGCCGAGGTCCATGAGCACGAGAAAGGGAATCTGCCTGCAAGCTTTGTGAATCAAGCTTGGATGATCGTGAAGTTGATAGTGAGCCCGAGAACTCGAGGCGTCTTGGGCCAGAAAGGTGCGCCGTGCGAATATGGTGATGATAAACATAGATGCCATCGCATTCGAAACTGTATCCAAAGAGGCCACATATGGAACATGGGTATGGCTTGTCGGACACGATGGGGGGTGACGGAATACAGCTCAGATCGACTTTACAACGACCGTAGTACCAGCTACGACGTACATGATCTTGTGCAATCTTTCGAGTAGCGACTTGTGTCGAACACCAGGGACATATAGCTTCTTGAATGATCGAGTCGAGGGTGATCATACCGTGCAGGGACTGTTCACGTGCGTGATGTAACCGAAGTGCCTCAAGAGTATTGAACGTGCATGTGCATAGGCATAATCACGCTTGCTGCGAGCGGTGTCTGCGTTCGGGGGGAAGTACGCCGAAATGAATGTATAATCAGCATGTCGATTTTTGCATCGAACGGCACCTCCTCGTCCCCAAAGGTTTTGTGGTTTCGGATGCGAAATTGCAACGAAATTGTTACGAGAGAACCTGCGTGCCGACAGTGCAATAGTGACACCCGTGTGCGCATTGCCGTACTTGTGGTGGTCGCCGAACTGGAAGACATGATATGCACGAGAAGTGTGTACATCACATGGATCACATTCATGAGCGCGACGACGAGTTTCTTGTAGGAGAAGAACGCTAGAGCGTAGACGCGACGATATGTCTTGAAAGCGGTCGTTCTGCAGTAGGCTGAGACAGTTATAAGAAGAGGTAGAAAACAAGTGTGATGCCATAGAGAGGGCGCGGTGCGAGTAAGAAACGAGTGCTCACCGCCCTCGTGTCATGTGCGCAGTGATGTATGAGGATACGGTAACAGGCAGGCCCTGGGAACGTGGGGTGACGCTGAAATGGGCTGAGGAGGGGGAGGAGGAGGAGGAGGAGGAGGAGGAGGAGGAGGAGGAGGAGGAGGAGGAGGAGGGGAGGAGGATAGGGAGGAGGAGGAGGAGGAGGAGGAGGAGGAAGAGGAGAAGGAGAGGGAGGAGGAGGAGGAGGAGGAGGAGGAGGAGAGGGAGGAGGAGGGGGAGGAGGCGGATTTTTTTTTCGCCGTGCACTGCCACCACAAAGGGTCAGCGGGGGGCCAGCCCTGGACCTGACCAGGAACTGGCCCCCCGACCGCGTTGAGGAAGCAGTGGAAGTCGACGTAGAACACGTGCCACGTCGCCGAGCGGGAGATCAAATGCTCCACGCACGCGTGCACGAGGAACCACCCGAGCGACTCCATGAGCCCCGAGAACCCGGAATCGCCACTGCAGCTCCACGAGCACAATCAGGAAGACCGAAGGGAGCGCTGCGCGAGGAGCCTCCTCGCGACCTCCCTGACGTCCTCCACCACCGAGGGCTCCTCCACCATCAGCGTCGCCGCCTCCGGAGGACCAGCCCGCCCCGCCGCGCTAGCAGCTCCGCCAGCCGCACGAGCTGGCTCCGCCGCCACCGCACCAGCAGCACAGGGCGGGGCTCGACGAACAGCATCGTCGGCCCACGTGTCGTCGAAGTCGATGTCGCCATCGGAGTCCGCCCAGGCGGAAGGCTGCGCCGCCTGCGCGAGCCGCAGGCCCGCCCCAGCAGCGCCAGCATCCGCCGCCGCGCCCTCCACGTCGGCAATCTTCTTTTCCTTCTCCTCCTTCTCCGCCGCCTTGCGCGCCGCGCGCCGCTGCCGCCGCCGCCGCCGCTTCGCGGCATGCGCCGAGGGGCGCGGGTCGGCAGCCGCAGCACCAGCAGGCCCAGGACGTGGAGGATGAGGGGCGCCGCCATCAGCGCCGTCGGCAGGCTGCGCGGGAGCCTCGGCCGCCCTGAACAGGGCAGCCGAGACTGCGGACCGCGCGACGGCCGCGACGGTGCGCCTCGGCGCGCCACCCAGCACGGCGCCGCGCACGGCCGCCTCCACCAGGGCGGAGGCGGCGAGCAGCGGCGCGCAAGCCCCTCTAGGCAGCGCCATCCCACGGACCCGCGAGGGGGGCGACGGCGCGGCCATGCGAACGCTTGAGCCAAAATGGCTACGGAGGGGGGGAGGAGGAGGAGGAGGAGGAGAGGGAGGAGGAGGAGGAGGAGGAGGAGGAAGAGGAGGAGGAGGGCCGCGCCCCGTGGCGATGCCCGGCCACTGTTCAGCGTCGAACGCGCGACGCGGAGCTCGGCGCCGCCGCTCGACGCACGCTGCTGCGGCCGGGTGCTGAGATTCGAGACGTGACCGTTGGTTCAAGCAGTGACTCAGCGTCTTGGCTCGCCTATAACCCCACGAAACAATGTTCTAAGATCTTTTGTGTCTTCCACGACATGTTCTTAGAACATGTCTGGTGGAGTCTTCCTTGTTTTGTCGCATCGGGTTTATGCTCTAAGAACATTGTTTTTGTTCTTAGAACATTTTTGTATTCTAGGAACATTTCGTGGTAGGACTATAGGAATGCGGGGACGGTCGGTCCCTGCTCAATGGGTGAGGGCACACCGGGGCCCCCAGATGACCAACACCGGACCCCGTGGGGGGCGGTAGTCCGACTCAGGTCCCAAGCCTCGTCCGCCCTGTGCACAGGGGGGGGCCGCCCAGGACTCGCCGCGACCCCCGCATGGCGGTAGTCTGACCGGGGCCCCCCCCACACCCCATCCAGTACCCCCCGCCGTTTCCCCTCCCCCCCCCTCCCCCCCGTCAGGGAAGGGAAATGGAAAAGAGTCGACACAATTACGACGTTTCTTTCGTTTGTTCGTTCTCGGATTTCCTTGGGTCGAGGAGGAGGAGGAGGAGGAGGAGGAGGAGGACGACGACGGCGGCGGCGACGACGACGACGAAGAAAGAAAAAACGCGCTCTGTGGTCGCTCTTGGAGACTGGGACAAGTGACGGCGCTTGAGCGACAATCGTGATTACAATTCTACTTGGACGGCACTGATCTCTACTCAATCTCACACAACATGGACTGTACTCACAAGTGTGGAGTTGCAGTGAGCTAAGAGCAGCAACTAAATTACATGGAAGGCATGTTCGACATCATACGCTTTGCACATCGAAGCACATATGTGTACAGATGTTGATTGTGGGAGTTATGTCGCTTGGAACTTATGGATCTCATGGGACTTATATACGTAGATATATAACTGCATGCTGCTGGCATGATTATTTTGTTTTCGCGTTTTTTATTATCTTCTGCATTGTTTATGTGTGTTTTTTCATTGGAAGACTGTTCGGTTCGGTCGCAGGGCGAGCCTGGCAGCCCTGGGGCCCACGACCCCATAGCCCCCCGCGCCAGGCTCTCTGCCACCGCGGGCCAAGGCCCACGACCTTGGCCGCGGCGCGTCGTCGTCGTCTTCGTCTTCGTCGTCGTCGTCGCCTTCGCCGTCGTCATCGCGCTGAAGCCGTGCCTTCAGCTACTTGCGCATGAACCCGCACCCGACGGTCTCGTAGGACTTGTCCGTCTCGCGGGAGCTCTCGTTAACCCTCTGGTCGTCGTAATCGACCCACTTGGACTCGTCGTAGCTCTCCCACTTCGTTTGGCCGTCGTCCCCCTTGCCGCTCGAGCTCGCACTCCGCGACTTCTCGACAAACGCTCGCTGCTGCTCGTAGGCTTTCTTGAACTGATCGTTTTTTGATGGCCTTGCCGTCGCGACCGATCGCGAGCTGGTTGGCGCGCTTCAGCTGGTCGTCGTCCTCGTAGTTGCCGCGCTCGATCGCGATGCGCTGCTTCTCGCGGTCGCATCTGATTGTCGAATCGGACATCGGCCACAACACTGCGACGTGCAAGGCCCAGGACTCGTCGATGGCCCAGTTGTCAGGCACCTTGCCAACTGCGGGTCCTCGTTGAGGCGGAAGCTCTCCTCGAATTTGTCCCCGCGGTCGCCGTGGAGCACGAGCTTCGCCGTGTCGTTAGGGCCGAACGCGGCGCGCAAGGTCGACACCTCGGCGAGGAGAGCCCTCTTCGCGCTCATCAAGTCGGGGGACCAGCCGAAGTCGCCGCGAAAGCTGCGCGGGAAGTAGAACGGCACCCACGTCCTCCAATCCCCCATCCAGACATTGCGCTGCGCCCTCGGCGCACTGTCGATCACGACGACGACTTCCCTCCCAGCCATCTCGGCGTCGGGCGGGGCGCGTCGGGCAGGGCGCGTTTCGTGGGGCCGCGTGGGGCGTCGGGCAGGGTGCGTCGGGCAGGGCGTTCAGAGCGCTCCGTCGAATGTTCGAGGAGCAACGGCTAGAAACGAGGGCCACCCAGAAGGGGTTGGGCGCGCGCGGGCTGCGAATAGGAATGGTGCTCCTGCCCGGAGACCTCATCGCAATTTAACAACGTCGGGAATGGTGCTCCCGCTTGGAGACTTCCTCACAACTTACCCCCCTCGCCCGGAGACCTCCTCATAATTGAATTCCTCACTGGGGGGGGGGGGCGGAGATAGGGGGCGGAGGATGGTGGGTGGTTGTTCTGGTGGCAAGGAAGCAGCTGCCAGTGCAGCACAGTGCACTCGTCTCTGCCATCCAGGTACCAGGCATTTGCCTCGCACGCCTGGTGGGCGCCAACGGCCGCCAGTGCCCTCCACAACCGATATCTGGCACTCGAGGCGGTCCTGCCACCTATCGCGTCCATCAGCCTCAACATCAGCACTTATTGGTTTGTTTTTAGGGCATACCCAGTGACCATGCCGACGCATGGGCCAGACAACACAACGTTGTTGGTGTAGAACTTCTTGCCGTCACGGCGCACGCCCCTGGCGATGGCGGCTGCGGGCTAGTCTGGCAGGGGCCCCCGGGGGCCAAGGAGGCCACTCGTGAAGTGCAGCCCGCCTTCGGCCAGCTGTTTATATTGCTTGGTCAGCAAAGAGCATGATACCGACCGCTCCCATACTTCCGCGTTGGCGACCGCCTCCGCCACCTGTTTCACGTGTGCGTTCAGGCGTTCGGCGACGAACATGTCTATGACGCCGTCGTGTTTGACGAACTGCCCAGGCACGTGAAAACACACGTGGTGTTTCGGGAACGCCAACTTGGCACCATAAGCCCTCTGATGAGCGTTGCGGCAGGCTGTCAGGGATCTCTGCAACTCCGCCGAGACCTCGAGGATGTCGTGTTCATCGCATCGTTTCGCCTCCAAGCGCAGGTCGAGAACCGTGCATGATGCCCCGAAAGAGATGCGTTTCAACGCGACGCGGTCGTCATTCATGAAGTTCTTCTCGATGGGGCGCCGCATCAAACAATGCACGCTCAAATGCCCGCTCGCCTCGGCTATCACCAGCCCCCCCCCTCGTCGTGCTCCGAAAAGGCGCTGTGCAACTCTGACGTTTTCGCGTTTCTACGCCTAGGGGAACACCGGTCGCACTTTAGTACTTCCCCCCAATCTTCAAGCTCCATCCCAATGGACTTGCACGCGACAGTGAACGCCGAACATTCCCCCGAGAAAGCACCGCGAGCCAGCAGATTGAGAACCCAATCCGCAGTGATCACAGCGAGGAAATCGATCAGCTGGGCGAGGGGCTCGTTGAGCAGCACGCTCCACGCGTTTGGGTTGAAGCCAACCCCCTGCACGAACGCCTTGAGCTCAGTTTTCGTAATCTCATTTCTAAGCCACTTTGCCTGAGTCCGCGCCGACACATTCACGGCGCCGACCAGCGTGTCCTGATCGGCAGGCTTGAACGTGGAGGAGCCGGTGCAAAATATGTTCACGTGGCCCCTGAGCAATGGGAGATCTGTCTTCCCTACATTTGAACATTCCAAGCACGGCCGATGCGACGTTGCTCCGCCCCAGTCTAACGTCAACCGGAAACCGTCAGGGTCGGTCGAAATCACCGCGACGTTGCCGGAGAGCACGAATGTCCGCCCGCGTAGCTCCAGCGGGCAGCCAGCTTTCAAAAAAGAAATATCATCGAGCAGAAGCAGCCGCAATGTGATCGCAAAACACTTGGGCCACCCCCCGACCACTTGGCATTGCAACGGTCAGCCACGTCATCTCGCGGCACAGCGCCGAGGTGCCGAACTTGAGGGGGTTGGTTGTCACTACCATTGTTTTCCGTTTGTTATGCGGCTTCTTCTTGTCGCCAGTTGTGAATTCGCCTAGGCTTATTGCCATCCTCCACGGGTTGTCGGGGCCGCGAGGCGAGCGCTCTGCAGCGCTCGCATGCAGGTCCTGCAGCTCGGCGGGGCCGCCAATCATCTCCTGCAGCAACAGCAGCGGGCGCGTTATCTCCAACGTGAACGCGCCGCCGCTCTCCAGCTCCAGCTCGAGCACTCGAGACACTTTGCCGAAGATCATGCTGTTGGCTGCGCGCAGGGTGTCTCCACTGGCAACCCTGTGCTCTAGCTTCCCGAGCATCTTCGCTAAGCCGCCCACTGGGAGAGCCAGCGCGCGACAGTGACTGGGCGCGCCGTCGCTTCTCAAGTCGGGGGCCCTCCATTTGCCGCGCGAACTGACCGGGGCCAACATGGCTAATGGACGATGACGGGGATGACGGCTCGATGAAATCAGCTCGTCGTCGTCGTCGTCGTCGTCGCTGTCGTCGTCGTCGTCGTCGACCCTTTTCTCCAATCGCCCCCTCCCCCAATTTGCTCGTGGGCGCTATCCAGCGGGCGACCGCTCGGAGCTACCCAGCGGGTGACCGCTCGGAGCTATCCAGCGGGTAACCCCCGGTCACCTCGGGTGACCGCTCGGGTGAGCTATCGGAGCTACGCAGCGGGTGGCCGCTCGGAGCTATCGCGCCCCGCGATGCGCGACGCGCGGCTATCTTCGCGCCCGCGCGTCGCTCCCTGGAGAAGGGCGCCTCTCCAGCCCAGGCCGCGACGCGTGAAGCGCGATTTTCTTCGCGCCCCTGGGGTGACCTAGGTGACCGCTCCAGGGGGGGATCCGACGTGCTTGGTGTTTTCCTCCCCGTCGGGCATGCACATGCCCCCGAACGAGTGCTGTCGATGTCAGTCGACGAACGCTCGCGACACTTCTTGCGAGCGCCACCAATCTCGCGTGGGCCCCTAAGATGCGCGAGGCATCATGCAGCGCGCAGACCGCTCAACCAAACCTGCGCGCGTGGCTCACCATCTGATTCGCGTTCTCGACCTTCCTCTTGAGGTCGGCCAAGAGGAGCTCGCACCCCTTCGCGCCTTTCACGTGGCGGATCGCGTGGCCAAGCTCGCCGTCGCGCACCTTCTTGCAGTCGCTCGCGATCTCGGTCACCTGCGTCCTCGCTGCATTCGTGGACCTCTCGGCGATACCCGGCAGCCCATCGAACATCTCATCGTCGCACAAGGCGGTCAGGCTGCGCTTCGCGTCGTCGACCATGTCACCCACCGCCTCGGCGAACTTGGTGCTCGTTACGTGAAACTTTTGCGTCGCGGCCTTATCCGCCTTCCTCTGCTTCTCCTCTCTTTCTCCTTCTCCTTGTTGCGCCTCTCCTGCTTGGCCTTCTCCTTGTCCTTCTTGGCGCGCTTCTTCTTTTTTCTGTTTCTTGTTAGACTTGCGCGAGGGCGAGCTGCTGGACGTGTCAGAACCAGCCTGGCTATCCTCATCGCCGCCCCCAGTCGCCTTCCTCATGCGAGACGGGCCCGCGCCCGAGTTCTCCTCTTCCCTGGCCTTGCCCCCGGCGCCCCTGGCGCCCGCGGAGTAGAGGGGCGCCCTGTAAGTAGCCCCCAAAATGCGGTGCTCGCGAACGTCCCAGGGGTAGCTCTTGTCCTCGGTGTCCTTGGCGTGGTAGCCGATGGTCGCCCAGGCGCTGAGGGGGGGGAGCTCCCCCCCCCTTTCGGCGCGCCAGCCCCGTGGTGCTCATGGCCCTCGAGGTGCTGGATGCACTTATCCTCGATGTCCTCGGCGCTCCTGTCGTCGCGAATGGACTTGTAGATCTGGAGATTCGCCTCATCGTCCAAGGCCTGGAACGCCTCCGCGGGCAAACTCCCGAACGCCCGCGACAGCTGAGTGATGTGAGCGCCGCGCCTGCCGCAGCGGTACTTGTTCTGCCCCTTAGAGCGGAGCCGCGCATCAGCGATCTCGACATCCGTCTGCAGTCGCCGCACTTGATGAGGAAGTCCTGCATGAAAGTCGCCCTCGCGCTCAGGGCCGCGGGCGCCCGCGACGACCAACGATGACGACGGCGACGACGACGGCGACGAGACGAAGACGACGAGGACGAGGACGACGACGAGGACGACGACGAGGACGACGACGAGGACCTGCCTGAGACGGCTTCGGCGCCGCCCGCAGCACGTACTTGACTCGCCGAGGGCCTCTGGGGCTGGCGGCGGAGGCATGGCCGCGTCGTCAGCGGCGGGCGGCTCGGCCTGCGGCTCGGGCGCGCCGTCTGCGTCCGTGGGCGCGAGACGCCCCAGCCGCCGGTGGCGGCTCCTCGCGGCCTTCGGCGGCAGCGGCCCTGCGGCGGCGGCGGCGCTGCCGGCCGTTGTCGGCGCCGGCGGCGCCGCCGCGGGCGGGGCAGCCAGCGGCGGCGCTGCCGCCGACGCGGTCGCCGACTGGGACGCCGAGGACGTCGGCTGCGCGGTCAGCGCGCGCCCTGGGGGCGCCGTTGCCTTCGGGCTTGGCGCCTCGGTCGGCGTAGCAGGCTGGCTAACGAAAATGCTTGGCGTAGCTGGCTGGCGTATCAGGCTGGGTGGAGTAGCAGGCGACGTCTTGAGGGCGGTCGCGGCCTGGGTCGTCGGCACCGATGGCGTGGCTGAGGTCGCGTCACTCAAAGCCGCTGCCCGAGCGGCTCCGAGAGCCCTGCCGATCTGCGGGTCGAGCACGGCCGCGGTGCCTGCAGGCGTGCTGATCGGAGGGGGCGGCATGTTGATCGGCGGGCTCAGCAGGGTCTCCGGGGCAAGGCGAGCTTCTGCGGCGACATTTTGCACTTCGGGCACCTCGCGTTGTTGATGCCGGTCCTGGCCAGCTGTAGCATCCTGTCGTTGCAGACTTTGTGGAAGCGGCGCGTGCACGGAAGGATCGTCATGGGCGGAGCTAGCCCGTCTGCGGGCACACCGTCATCCTCGTTGGGGTCGTCGGCCAGATCTTGCAAGCAGTTCGTGCAGGCGGTCTCGTTGGTAGTGTCCGCGGCCCTCGGTGCCGCCTCGCTGTCGCCGACGGTCGTCGGATCCGAGTCATGAGGATTGGCGCCCG